GTAATTAAAGGTATTGGTGTGTAAATTTCTATATACAAATATTTAAAATAAATGATAAATTCAGAAAATTATCATAGGCATGCAATTATCCAGGATGCATTTGTCTAGGGATGCAAATGTCCAAGAATACAGTTGTCTGGTACATAACTGTCCAGGAGTCAAATGTCCAGTACACAACTCTTTGTCCACAAAACTTAACATATCTGAATTTTCTGGTCTACTACATGTAGAGCATTGTTAAGAGGTTAACTCCCTATAATACGAAGAATTTGTTTAAGGCCACTTTGATCAAGAGAATATCTGAAATGAACAAAGAACATTTGCCAACATTTTCGATTCTTCATTGAGGCAACCATTGATGTTGAGAGTGGATGTACTGAATAAACCTTTTATGAAGCTAATCAAGTGTTTATGTGTAAAAGTTTTAAGACACTATAACTATTTTGTTGAGAGATGCTTGTTTAACCAAAAGCCAAAATGTATCCTAAAATTCTCTACATATCATATATATATATATATATATATATATATATATATATATATATATAACATTTAATGGCTTATGTTTTAACACACAAAGGAAATATTGTCAGTGTGAAAGATCTTTGGTGTCAACAACTCTTACAAGTTTCAAATAGATGAGAAAAATTCATGTTTTCAATTTTCTTTCTTCAATTTCCTTCTTTCTTTTTCCTCATGCTTTCTATATCTACATTTCTTTCTCTATTTTGATAAGTTCATTTATTTTCTTTCTCCTTTCTTTCTTCAATTTTCCTATTTCTCTTTCGTCATGACTTCTACATCTTTCTTTCTTTCCTCAAGTTCCTTCTGACTCATTCCTCATAACTTTCTTCACTTTCCTTCTTTTTCTTTCCTCATAACTTTCTTTCTTCACTTTCATAGTTCTCTTTTCTCATGCCTTCTACATTTACATTTCTTTCTCTATTTGGATTAGTTCATTCATTTTCTTTCTTTCTCCTTTCTTCAATTTCCCTAATTTCTCTTTCGTCATGACTTCTACGTCTTTCTTTCTTTCTTCCCTTAATTTCCTTATAACTTCTACACCTGCATTTCTCTCTCTCACTCTCTATTTTAATGAGTTATTTTCTTTTTCTTTCTTCTCCCATTTTTCAGTTTCCTTATTTCTCTTTCCTCATAACTTTCTTTCGTTCTCTTTCCTCATAACTTTCTTTCGTTCTCTTTCCTCATAACTTTCTTTCGTTCTCTTTCCTCATAACTTTCTTTCGTTCTCTTTCCTCATAACTTTCTTTGTTTCTTCAATGTTCTTCTTTCTCTTTTCTCATGCCTTCTACATTTACATTTCTTTCCCTGTTTAGATTAGTTTCTTTGTTTTATTTCTTTCACCTTTATTTCTTCAATTTCCTTATTTTTCTTTTGCTGTGCCTTCTACATGTTTCTTTCTTCAATTTCCTTCTTTCTTATTTTCTTCACCTACATTTCTTTCTCTATTTAGATTAGTTGATTTATTTTCTTTCTCTTTTATTTCTTCAATTTCCTTCTTTTTTACCTTCTTCATCTACTTCTCTATTTAGATTAGTTGATTTATTTTCTTTTTCTTTTATTTCTTCAATTTCCTTCTTTTTTACCTTCTTCATCTACTTCTCTATTTAGATTAGTTCATTTATTTTCTTTCTCTTTTATTTCTTCAATTTCCTTCTTTTTTACCTTCTTTATCTACTTCTCTATTTAGATTAGTTCATTTATTTTCTTTCTCTTTTATTTCTTCAATTTCCTTCTTTTTTACCTTCTTCATCTACTTCTCTATTTAGATTAGTTCATTTATTTTCTTTCTCTTTTATTTCTTCAATTTCCTTCTTTTTTACCTTCTTTATCTACTTCTCTATTTAGATTAGTTGATTTATTTTCTTTTTCTTTTATTTCTTCAATTTCCTTCTTTTTTTACCTTCTTCATCTACTTCTCTATTTAGATTAGTTCATTTATTTTCTTTCTCTTTTTATTTCTTCAATTTCCTTCTTTTTACCTTCTTCATCTACTTCTCTATTTAGATTAGTTCATTTATTTTCTTTCTCTTTTATTTCTTCAATTTCCTTCTTTTTTACCTTCTTTATCTACTTCTCTATTTAGATTAGTTCATTTATTTTCTTTCTCTTTTATTTCTTCAATTTCCTTCTTTTTTACCTTCTTCATCTACTTCTCTATTTAGATTAGTTCATTTATTTTCTTTCTCTTTTATTTCTTCAATTTCCTTCTTTTTTACCTTCTTTATCTACTTCTCTATTTAGATTAGTTCATTTATTTTCTTTCTCTTTTATTTCTTCAATTTCCTTCTTTTTTTTTACCTTCTTCATCTACTTCTCTATTTAGATTAGTTCATTTATTTTCTTTCTCTTTTATTTCTTCAATTTCCTTCTTTTTTACCTTCTTTATCTACTTCTCTATTTAGATTAGTTCATTTATTTTCTTTCTCTTTTATTTCTTCAATTTCCTTCTTTTTTACCTTCTTTATCTACTTCTCTATTTAGATTAGTTCATTTATTTTCTTTCTCTTTTATTTCTTCAATTTCCTTATTTCTATTTCATTATGCTTTCTATTTCTTTCTTTCTTTAATTCCCTTATATCCTCGTTACCTTTCTTTCTTTAATCTCTCTTGTCTTTCTTTTCTTTTCTAATCCAGCCTGATCTGACTTAGTTCTGGTTCCTTCCCTTCCTATTTAAAAAAAGAAAGAAGAAAAATAATGAAATAAAAGAAACTAATTCTGACCTAATTTTTACACCTAAACATAACTTGCTGACAAGTAAATGGATTGATAGAAATGATTAACCCTGATTTACTTTCTTTCGTTTTTTTTTTCTTTCAAAGTTTTCAATGTTAAAGTCCAATTAAAAGGATTAGAGTTCTTGGGCCAACTTAGCCTCTCAGCCAATCAAGGCTTAAAATTATTTAAGTCACATATTAATTTAAGTCAAAGCTTTCATGTTATTAAAATGAAAATTGGGAAAGAATTAAGAGTGGTTAAGGGAGATTGAAAAAAAAAATTAAGAAAGAAAGATGAAAAATAATTGAACAGAGATTAAAAGATTAAAAGAAGAAGAGAGAAATAAAGAAATAATTTATGAATGAGTTGGAAGTAAGGATTGGAATAAAGGAAAGGGGGAAATGAAAGAAAAAAACAAAAAAGAAGTAAGACACAAAAAAAGAAAGAGACAACAAAGAGAATTATCAGAATAGAGATTCAGTCAGTCAAGTGCCATACATGTATTACATATTTGGGCGATCATGTCTCTTTTGATCTGTGACTGACTAGATACAAGATTTTCCCACAGTAAGTTACCGTTTTTTTCTGAAGAAAGACTGGTTGTCAACCAAGGCTATAGAACCCAGTCTGCCCTGCTATTCAACCCATAACTGAGAAGAGAAGGATTCATACCATTCCTAAGGGTATTTGGGCATAAGTGAATACAACAAACTCAATTGAAATTTGAACTTGGCTCTATTTCTAATTCTGAGTTGATATCTATTACACCACAATGCTGGTTAAGAAAAGAAAAACAAAAAAAAATTAAAAACAAATAAAGAGAAAAGGAATAAAGAATAGAAGAAAAAAAGTGAGAGGAAAAAAGGAAAGACAGATTAGAATGAATTGGAGACGGAACAGTAAAGAGAGAATGAAAAATTCAGTGATTAACCAAAAAGCGAGAAATAAATAAGCTAGCAAAGAAGAAGATCATAGACGAACAAACGGCCATAAAATGGAAAGAAAGAGATGAAAACGGATTTTAAAAATACATAAATAAATAGGATTAAAAAATGTGAAATGCGCAATCACGATTTACAAATGTGGATGACATGAACTGCTCTTCTTTCTTTCTCTGCTGCTAAATTGGAAGTTCTGTCTACATGGTCTTATAAAAACTGAGGGTTCAGAATTACAAATTAACTGAAGTGACAGCTTAAAAACAAATTCTGGGGATTTACTAATATGGCTGTCTTTATCTTTATATACCATATCCCCTCTGGATGTAGGGGGTCATGGTTTGCCCCATTTTTCTCTCCTTTGTAGCTCTTCTTAATAAATTTTTTTTTTTGATATTTCTCCTAAACCCTGTTCTGCCATCCATTTACTTAAGCTCATCAAGTATGTTATGCACTATTTTCCTCTGTTCCTCTTGCTCTCAATCTATCCTGTGAGTATCATATTTTCAAAGCCCTCCTTCCTCATTATGTGCCCCAGAAATTTCAATTGTCTCTTCCTCATGTTAAGTATAAGTTTCCTCCTTGTTTCCTTTTTCAATAAAACCATTGTTATTGTTTATATGGTCAGTCCATTATATCCTCAGCATCCTTCTGTAGAACCACATTTCTGCTGCTTCAAGTATCTTCTTCATCTTTGCAGATCTTCCACCATTCACTGCCATATAGAACAGATATCATTTAGTACTCTCTTTGTTTCTAATGACATTTTTCTGTTTCTCAACATTCTGCTTAACTTTTGGAATCTATCTTTGGCTATCTGATTGCATCTTAGTGTTTCAGTTTCACACTTTTTGAGTAGGTCATAAAATCTTATGGTTGAGTGAGGTTGAGTCTATAATTTTAGAAACCTTTATAAATAAAAGTATTAAAAAAAACTGTTATCTACATGCTATCTCTCTTGATCAATTAAGTAAAAAAGAAATTTGCTATTTCTTCATAAAAATATATTTCACTTTATTATCAAATTTCATGAGCAAACGCTGATCCCTAGGAAAAATTGAAATCATATTTAATATTAAATGAGAGATATTGTAAGAAACAAAGTTTGTTTTGTAGAGGCAATCTTTTCTTTTTACATGCGATGCCCCTTCGTGATGTGAACAATCATGACTCTCTACAATTTCCTATCCTTTTAAACTCTTGACAATGTATGTCTTTATACTATCCCACCTGCTCCTTGTTCTGCTATCCATTTATATAAGCTTGTTATCAAGGTTACTTGATGTTTCCCTCTACCTGTCTTTCGTTCAGTATTTGACTTATGGCCACATTACTTTGAAACACTAATTCCCATACAATCACCAAAGTTAAGCAATGTTGAGTTCAGTTAGTACCTAGATGGGTGACTACTTGGGAATACTAGGTACTGTAAGCTTGGATGTGTGGGTGATGTACTGGATAATGGCTTGGAATTGTTAATCTAAGAGCCAAGTTCCAATTTCCATTCAGTTTGTTATATTCACTAATGCACAAATACTCTGGGGAAAGGTATGAATCCACTTCTTCTTTCCCCACTATGGGTTAATTAGTAAGACATGTATCACTAAAACATTATTATCTCAAAAAACTTCTTACAATCTAAAAATAATTTCAGACTTTAAATTATCTTCAAGGTGTTGATAAGCCATAGAAAATGAATGAATGAATCAATCACACATTCAGTATCTCCTGAGAGTGTCATATTATCCAGACCCACTTTCCTCACCATGTATCCAAGGCATTCCAACTGTTTTTTAATTCTAAGTATATTTGTCCTTATTATTTTTATTTTCTTTAAAACTTCCTTGTTGCTTGTTCTGTCCATAGTATTCCAGCATCCTTCTGTAGAGCTACATCTCTCTTGTCACATGTTTTCTCTTCATGTATGAGGAAATTGTCCAGCAGATATATAGGTGAATCAATATTACATAATGGTTCAACACTCTTTTTCTGTTTCTAACAAAATTGGCCAGTTTCTTAATACGTTGTTCAGCTTTTGGAAAGCATCTTTTGCTCTTCCAATGTGCCAATATAATTAAGGTTTAGAATTTTGTTTTACAAAGCCCTCCAGAATTCACTGCCAATAGAAAAAAAACAAGCAACAAAAAATCAATAAAGCTTAAATATTTTTATGCATTTTATTAAACTCTAGCACACTTAACCTGCTTTATAGACATCCTTTATCCTCTGTTTATATTAGAATCTCTCTTTTATTCCCACAAGCATGCACACATATATCGAACAGAGTTCATGCAACATTAAATTCACTTTCAATTTTGTTCACTGATCCAATGCAACTTCCAAAATCTTGGACATTTATGAAGTCTAGCAAGTTTTGGGATATCTTCAAGGGCTAAAATCTTCATATACTATAAAGAAAACACTTTCCAATCATAGAATCAATGCTTCCAGGGACAATCCACAAAATCTAACTTGAATATTAAACTCATTTAAAATTTTCTGTTTGCTTTCATCCAGGTGATTTACGTCTGAACCACTTATTGTTAATTACACTTGGAACAAGTCAGGAACTTGGCCTTGGGCCGTTCCAACTTGACTCCACTTGCACACATATGAAGCACAAATTTATTTTCATGTATTACATAGTAAGCTCATTAAGTTATTTATAACCTGAAGCATGGAAGATTTTAAGAACTGCTAACTTTTCTGAAGAATTATGAATTTCACTAAGAAATTGCTGTTTGCAATTAGTTCAATTTGATATTTCCTAAAATTGGCTTAGTATGGCAGACATTTAAATATGGGATTGAAATATTGTGCTATGCAAATTTTTCTAGTGCAGAGAGTCTACCTACCTTGAGCTTAAAAACTTAAAAATTTTACATAAAATGGAAACAAAAAGGACACTTATACTTAGATTCTAGGGCGCATAATGAGGAAAGAGGGCTTCAAAAATTTATAACTTACAGCACATATTGAAAGCAAAAGAGATGGAGGAAAAATGCACAACATATCTAACAGACAAATGCTAATGGATGGCAGAATGGGGTTTAGGAGAGATAGCAAAAAGACCAAATTTACTAAGAGCTGCAAAAGAAAGGAGATTGTGGAGAGCCGTGATCGTCCACATCATGATGAGACATGGCACATAGAAGTATTATATAGTGATCCCATTAAGTTAGTTATAGTCTTATGGATGGAAGATTTTAAGAACTGCTAACTTTTTCTAAGAATGAGGAATTTTAAGAAATTGATTCTTGCAATTAGCTCAATTTGATATTTCCTAAACATGACATAGGTGTGACAATGGGGGAAGGACGGGCTTGTAAAATTCAATATGTCTAAAACCAAACGAGTAAGGTTCCAGTACCACTGAGCAGACCTTGAACTTTCACCTTCAAGAGTCTATTAGGACTCAAATGCACCCCAGACCTCAAGTGGGACTCATATATCTGATCCATTGGTAAAGATACTGGAAAATGGTTGGTTTTACAGTGAACCAACCATTTTCCATCTCTAGTAAGTATGTGACACCTCCTGCTATACTTTATCTTTACAAGAGCAGGATCAAACCAAAAATGGAGTATTGCTGCCATATCTGGACCGAGATCTCACTTGCTTGTCTTGATAGAGTTCAAAAGTATCTACACGGCCTTGTGGGGGATGAATTATTTTCTTCTCTACAACCCTTTTCCCACAGATGAAACATCACAAATCTCTCTCTCCTCTATACCTATTGCCATGGCATGTGTTCTGATGAGCTACATTCAACCTGATCTTTGCAACTGGGTCCTGCCATGTCACATACACAAGGATGTATCATCCTCATTCTCTTCATATTCCATTAGTAAGAAGGAATTTCTACTTGGACTGCTGTGTTGGGGAACAGACTCTCAGCAGGTTGCTTTCCCAATAGCTACAACCTTGACCTCTTCATGTTTAGGATTAACTGTTATTATTCTTGCAAAACCACATGAACTTCATTTCTTGGCTTTTCTAACACTCATACAACTCCACACAGCAATCTTCTATCTTGAGTGGCTCTTGGGCCTTTCATTGTGAGAAGATTAGTATGAAAAGAACTATGGTAGACATTTAAAATTGGGATAGAAATATTGTGTTATGCCAATTTTCCTACCTTAAATATCAATGTTCTTACTTTTAACTGATACACTGACCACTAATAAACATCTCTCTTAGCCTTTACATATTTACATATGGGCAGGATTACACTCAGTTAGATTTTATTATTCAAGTTAATGCTTTCATATTATTATTAGGCTGGCCAGAAAGTCCTGACTCACTGTGGAAAGAAAACAACAAAATTTTTTGGAGCAACACCATCATTTATTCTTTAAAATAAAATCCATCATTCTCAACAATCTTCCAGCAATCAGCCAGCATCTGAATCTGTCCTAGATATCAGTTTGTTGATCATGAATGAAGTGTGCTATTGAGCAGAATAGGCCATAGTCACTCAGACCAGCACTTGGATGGAATGGTGGATGTGGAAGAATCTCAACACCTTCAATCTGTTTGAACTTACTCAACCTAGCAGCGTGTGGCCTCATATTGTCTTGCTGAAACAAAACGAGACCTTGATTGACCAAAGTAGGATACTTCTTCTTTAGTCTGTTTTACATGGAGTCTAGTTACTGGCATTACAATTTACCATGTGGAACAAGCTCGAAATGCAGTATTCCTTGGAAATTCCACCAGACAGAGATCAAGATTTGTTGTTTTCTTTCCGTTTCCTAAGTGAGTCAGGACTTTCTGGCTAACCTAGTAAAAAAACAACTGATGCTGGTAAAACTTTCAAGATATATTTAAATAAAAAACATGCCATGTGAATTTTGCCTAAAATGTATGTTTTAATTAGATGATAACCAAGATATTATTTGTATGTTTTTTTATGGAGAATATGATATTTTTTATTACTTCAAATGTTATTTTTAATCGGCACCCATAGTTGAGTAGATGCTCCATTTATTTTAAGCAGTATCTATTTTGTCTACTGGCCTACATAATCAAGAAAACCTAATAAAGAAAATGTAGCCTCTGACAGGATCAGAACCTGTATGTAACCTTTTGCTGAGGGAACCACCATCTGATCAGGCATGATTTGATTTTTCAGCTATGAAGAGCTTCACAATCAAGCAAGGTTCTATTTTGCCTTTAAAGCACATTCACTCATTCAGAGTTTTTTTAAAATACATATCTGCTCAGATATCAAATGCATGGACATAAATATGATAGACTTATAAATATGTAAGATAGCATGACATAGGGAACCAACTTTCCGAGCAGCAGACCTAGCAATTAATTCAATATAATCTTTCTACATCATGTCAGTGGCAAACAAATTCCAAGAAGATACAATGAATCACTCTCCTGGTGGTTAGCATCAGCCATTATGATGGAAGGTAAAAAGGTTCTCTCAGATGATTAAGAGAGCAGTTTTGTTTTTGAGGTGTTAAAATTAACAAGCCATTCCTTGCCTCAGTTAAGTACAGATTGTAGATCATTTTTTAGATCAGTTGCCAGTTTGACCTGTATGTTAATATATGTATTTGCATGTTCATGTATGCTTTCAAGAATGCTTTACTTTCCAACATTGTAAAAAAAGATGGTAAAATCCAAGGTTTTTTACTTTGCCTTTTGGTTGATTGGCTGATTTTGTTTTAGTGGCATATCAACCTCTGTGTGTTATTTTAAAGTTGAAATCTAAATATTATATAGGCAATTTTATTATTTCTTTAGCAATTTAAAAAAAAATGGGTGACCATTTTTAATGTTGTTCCTAACATTTATTGTGTTTATATAGATAATATATACCCTGTTCATTTCTTGTTTTATTTTGACTGATTGATTGATTGATTGATTCTTTTTCTACATCTTATCAACACTTTGCTGGTTATTTAAAGCCAAAAAATATTTTTAGACTGTAAGAATGATTTAGTGATACAAGTTTTACTAATTAACACATAGCTGGGGAGAGAAGATGTGGATTCATACCTTTCCCAAGGGTATTTGCATGTAAATGAATACAACAAACCCAACTGGAATTGGAACACAGCTCTCTGGTTAACAAGCTATTATTGGTATTCCTAAGCGGTAACCTATCTAGTTACTGACCAGGCTCAACATTGCTTAACTTCAGTGATTGTACAAGAACCAGTGTTTCAATGGGTTGTGACCTCAATGCAAAGAGTATAAAAAAAGAGTATAAAAAAGAGTATAAAAAAAGTATTTATATTTTTCTAATAGTTTAAATTGACTAAAAATTATTAAATTTAGCAATTTTAAATAATAATTTAAAAAAAAAAATGAATCCCTACAGATTATCTTTCAACATATGCAGTAGTTTAAACAGATATTTTCTTTTTAATAAACTTCTTGCAGTTGGTGCAGTGGTTAGATGCTCAAAAGCAAG